TTGATACAAATTTATATCTTTGAGGGTGCAAATTGAGATTTTTTATCTTTGGGGTACACATTGATATAAATTTCTATCTTTGAGGGTGTAAATTGAGATTTTTGATCTTTGGGGGTGCACATTGATACAAATTTCTATATTTGAGGGTGTAAATTGAAATTTTTGATCTTTGAGGGTATAAATTGAGATTCGAACAATCTTTCGGGGTGCAAAATGAGATTAACCCAATCTATTATATAAATTAGGGTTGATCGTAAGTTTTTAGAGTCAAAGTGAAATCAATTATTGTAATTATCAAATTTAATTTTTAAATTCATATAATATTATTTTTTGACTAATTTTTTCTTTAATTTATTTAAAAACAGGACATCAATATCAAAAATATTCACGAGGAATAATTGTTACTTCAATTACCTATACACTTAACCCAATCAATTATTGTAGAGCGAGAAACCATCCAGTCCCACCTGTTCTTTCTCCATCTTCATTTCCCATTCTTACCACCAGCACTGGGCAATTGCTGACCCAATCTTTATGTCCCATTACTTCTTATCAACACCCTTTACAGTTAACCCAATCAATTATTGTAGAGCCAGAAACCATCCAGTCCCACATGCTCTTTCACCATCTTTAGGAGTTGGCTTCAATATCGAGAAAAAGTAAAAATAGTACGACGCCTAAAAAATAAAAAGATTATATGATCGTCACTTGTATATTTCGAAACCTATATATATTTTAAAAATAAGTGAAACTGCTATACACTTTAAAAATAAGTGATAATAAAAATTAAAATTAAAATTAAAAAATTATTATTATTTATCTTATTTAAACCTAAATAAAAATATAAGAAAAAATTTACAATATTTAGAGTTATTGAGTGACATTAAAATTATCATTTTAGATTAAGTTAAAAATATTAGGAGGTTAGGATTAGGTTATCAAAGGAAGTTCACCACTATTTTAAGTGATAATAGAAATTAAAATTAGTTTTAAAAAATGATAATTATTTATCATACTTGAAATAAAAATATAATGAAAATTTTACAATATTTGCGATTATTGAGTGACATTAAATTTGCCATTTTAGATTAAGCCAAAAATATTAAGATGTTAGGATTGGGTTATCAAAGTTCACCATTAGGGTGTTAAGTTAAAATTATCACAACAAAATTATCATATTTGGGTGTTAAATTAAATTAGGTAAAAAAAATTGGGGTAATATGACACTAATTACATAGTTGAGGGTGTAATATGAAAAATATGAGAAATTTTTTGAAAAAAGGGTGATAATTTAGGGGTATAAGTGAAATTTTTGTTTGATATGATCGCAACTTGATCGCTGGTTGAGCGATCCAGATTAGTTCACTACACAGATCAGTAGCGACCACTACATTCCCATCTATAGCGATCCAGGTTAGATCGTTCAATATAGTGATCAACTTGTTTTTTTCTATTTCTCCAAAAATCGAACTCCTCAACTCCAAAATTACATACCCAAAACTCTAGAACCATAAATCAATTTCACCCAATCTGTTTTTTCATACCCAAAACTCTAAATAAGCAACCATTGCCAAATCGAGCCCCAAATCAGCAACCAAATTGAACCCAAATTGAACCCATTCACTAGTGCCACCGCCACGGCCAGAGCAACCATTGCCACTGCCACCATCGGAGCCACAACCATAGCCACGGCCAAAGCAACCATCGTCACTGCCTTCCTCTTCTCCAAGGTATCCACTCTCTCTCTCTCATCATGTTGGCCACTATATCCTTATATAAGGAATGATTGTAGATTGTTCATCTTTCTCATCCACCTCATCAACGTACTCCTATGTTCTAACCTTCATCCTTTCTCCATTTGTTTTGATCTTTTTCAAGAAATGATAAGACAAAGGATGGCACACGAAGAAAGAATTCTAAATTGAGTAGAAAAGAAAATAAACAAAAGGTAAAGGGATCCATAAAAAAAAATGGTCTGCACAAAAAAAAATGGTATCTACATATTTTTGCACATCAAATATCCCAAATTACCAAAATTACCCAAACAAAACCTCATGGTCAACAAAACACAAGCAATTGATTCAGTAAAATATTGGCAAAAAAGAATTGATTCCAATTTAGTTATTTATGTTTATACAAAAAAATCAGTATGTGCCAATAAATCAAACCCATAAACACTATACATGACTTCAACTTTTGTATACATAAAAAAAAGAAGAGAATATGTCACACATATTATCTTTGATTTTTACTACAATTCTTTTGTTGGTGTTGTTGTGCCTTACTTATGATCTTGTTTCTTGATTCAGTGTATATGTAAATAACAACTTTGAATGCTAGATCCTTCCACATCGTATTGAATTCATCTAAAAAACAATAACCAATAACTACAATTAAATTGAAAAATGTTACATCTACAAATTTAATTTAGTACTATTAAATATTAAATAAGGAGAATAACTATCATACCATAATTTTGAATGATTGATCCAAAAATTGAGCATGCATATCTTTTATGACAAATATTTTACAATCATAAACATTTGTTTGCCTAGGAGCCCAATCCACTTTATATGTGTGCCACTTGGTCTATGTTGCCGTGTAATTAGGTATGACAAGCTGAAGGACTTGAACTAACTGTTTAATCACATTTGCAACAGCAGAAAAATGGATACTGTTGGAATATAATGGTAGATAATCAAATAATAAAATTTTTCTTTCACTACATCCACCACGCGTAAATACCAATGCGTGTTATTGTCGTTCATGGGTATACAAATCTACATAAAAAAATACAAAGATATTAATTATTGTGTAAATGATCAATTATAAAAAAAAATTGGACATCTACATACCTTATTACAGTCCTTGAAATTTGAAACGAAGTACCTTTGAAAATCAAGTAAGCCAATTATTTTTTATTATTCTTTTCCTTGTCTTACCCTTCCAAGTGCTTTTTGCTGGATATTGAAAGTAAAGTATGAGTACACATTTAACTTACATTGTACATGTTTAAGATTAAAAAAATCAAATAAACCATATTACACGCAAACTATGTGGGTAGATATCACCTTGACCTTTTTGTAAAAGGATTAAACTTCACATCATCTCAAATAATACAAGATGTCAAATCTATTATCTTCAGGTACAAATGTACAAAATCAATACTTGGTCAATATAAAAAACACAATAAAATAAAGATGTCCATTTTAACTCACACTGTCTAACAACCATTTTCTTGGTTTTAGAGATTCAATAAATGAATATCTGTTGGCAAAATATGTCTCAAATTTCACCAATGTCTCATTGTTTCATGCAAAAAATGAATTAATAATTGGTAATGACCCCACAATATATAAGAATTATAGGTGAGATTTGGTATATAGTATAAATATCTCATTTCAAATGTGTTGTCAAATATGTAATTCATGACACACATTTTATCATAATGACTAATTTCATCAATGGGTGAATAATCCCTATCTGATGGGATCCACAAACTAGTAGAATTTTAAATCTGCTTATTAAATATAATGAAGAATATTATTAAATGTAGCACAATTGTTTAAATAAAATCAATACAAATATTTGTTTAAACAATCATTTAATGTAGAGTACGAAATTAAATCTCGTGAACGGTTATAATTGAGGGAATGTAAAAAATTGTTATTTCTTTTAAAACTTTATGTATTTTTATTTCGGTCTTCTCATCATCCTTTGTTATTTTTTCAATCATATATATGTTGGTTTTTTTTTTTATGGAGTCTAGTTTGTATATGTGATCCGGATGATGACCCGACCTGAAATAATGTTGTGTGATTTTTTAATGGAAAATTTTTTGAGACTTAGTCCATGGAGCGAACGCTTGGGCCGATAGGCCCAAGTCGTAGCGCTCATGGACAAGCCTTGTGGGGGGTCGGGGGCAACGCCCCTGAGGAAAATTTTTTGGACCCGTTATACAGCCCAGTGCGTAGGACATATAAACCCTGTTGTTTTGGTGATTAGGGTTAATTATGGATTGTACAGTCGCTCTCTGTATTCAACTCTCTCAATAGTGAAATCCTTGCAGCTTCGTGGACGTAGGCAAATTGCCGAACCACGTAAAATCTGTGTCTTGTTCTTTCTTGTTTCTTATTGCTTTATATTCTTGATTTGTTCTTCGATTGTGTGTGTTTGTTAGTGGATTTAAATCGTGTTAAATCCCAACAATATATATCAACACCAGTCTCATGCTTATTTATAACTTTTTCCATTTTCTCTTCTTCATCTTTATTTGCATTCACTTTGTCTTCATCCTTATTTCTAGCTTTGTCATCTTCATCCTTATTTCCAGTATCCTCCATCTCCACCTTTTCATCCTATTTTCAGTTGCCTCCATTTCCTCATATTCATTCTTATTTGCATTCACCATATCTTCGTCCTTATTTCCAGCAACCTCCAACTATTTCACTTCCTCTTTATTTGCATTCACCTCATGTTTATTATCTTTTTCTACAATTTCCTCCATCTTCTTTCTAGTTTCCTCCATCTCCTTGTCAAACAAGGTTCTATTATTGTCCAATTGTGATAACACACGTAGAACAGTATTATAATGCATTATCAATTAATTTTGTAATCAAGTAAAATTATAATTAGTTTTGACGTGTTATACCGCCGCTATATCTATCGTGTGCTACTTCAAGATAGCATTTTCACACTTCTTCAAATAAAGTTATTGATTACACAAATAAGATTAGAGATTTTGAATATATTTTTTATTACCAAAAATATGAATATATATTTATATATATCTTTATTACCAAAAAGTAGTCCTTACCTCAACAGTGATAGTTTTGAAATGAGTTGTTATGACCTTTTATTTATTTATTTATTTATTTATTTGGGGGGTGGGGGGGGGGGGGGGGTTGGGGTTTCCTATAAGTCAATTATGGTGGAAATCCCAATTGCATGTCCAAGTATTAGTATGGAAAACTGTTGTATATGTATTCATTCATCTGGTTATGCAGGGAAACGTTGAAGGTTGTCCAAGAGAACCATGGCATGATTTGCACTGTAAAATTGATGGCCCGGCAGCTTATGATGTTCTTACAAATTTTGAGGAGCGCTGGTTAAAGGCTTCAAAACCTCATGGAATTAAAAAACTGAAGATGCCGTATGATGATGCTTTGCTCAGAATAGAGAGGCTGCCTGAGATATTGGGGATATCCGACACTCCTTGCCTCGGTGAGAATGATCCTCAGAGTTGGCATGTTCAGGTAAATTGGTCTCAACCATATGATAGAAGTGAATTGATCTCATGAATGTTAGTGCATGACATTCTGCTATTGTCCTTGTGGCATGCTGCAAATGCAGATCTTTCGTTCAATTGATTCAAATTCCGTAAAAGGCTTTCCAAAAGATCCAAAAGGAGGTACTCGAAAGGTGGGTGAGAATAAGTACCCTCTCCATTTAGAAATTTCTGTTTTACAGGTTTTTTTTTTTTTTTTTGGTGAAACTTGATTGGCAATTTTGTTTTAACAGAACCTGGTATGTGGGAAGAATGTGCTTATTGATATGAGCATACATTCGGCATATGTAAAGGCCATTCGTTCTGCCCAGCATTTCATTTATATTGAGAATCAGTACTTCATCGGGTCATCATTCAACTGGAATTTACATAAGGACTTAGGTAAGACACCATTATTTTATCACATGTCAATAGCCATTGTAGTTAAGAATTTTGTTTTCTAACTCCATGCCTAAATTTGCTCGTCTGATGATAGAATGATACTGATATTTATATGGTCCCCTCAATGATAAAATTTCTATACAAACTTCAAATTTCTAAAATACACCCAGGTTTGACACGAAATGGGTATTGGTGGGATATGTGGCCATCGCCTGTGAAAAGGATAATTACGTTAAAATTTTAATATACGTTCCTTCAATGGCTACATAACATAATGGAATTTTCAATAGTGAAGCGCAAAATGGATGAAATACTTTATTTTATGATATTGAGGAAGCACACTTGTAGACCGACATTGGTTTACGGTGTGCCAATGTAGAGCTAAGTATTGGCAATTTTGTCAGTGTCCTTAAGGTGATAAGTGTTGCAAATCCAATGGCTCAAGAGTGAGGTTAGTGGTTGGACCTTAAGGTCATGGGTTCGAACCTCATCGTTCCCCTCCCCTATAATAATGTCTGATTAATGGCTCAAGAGCAAAAGAGCTGGACCTGTATGCACCCAAAATTTTGGGTTTGTTAACGTTTTAGTGGGGTTGTTTGCAGTAAAATTATAATTATTAATAGAAAGGAATCTGTTCAACCCAAGCCAAGCCACACATTGTTTGGATTCGGCTCGCTTACAAAAGAGTTTAGAAATTTGATCAAATTCGGTTACTCTTTGGATGAGCCTGAATAAGCCAAAACTGAGCTGAGCCCGAGCCGATCTCATATTGCTCAGGTGGCTAAATAGTCCCTACTCAAGTTATGACCCATGAACTATACATACTGTCAAGTCTAAAAATTATTAAAAAGATTAAATACAGATAACATATTTCCAGCAGTTTATTAGTCTAAAATTAACAGATCTGTGTTTAAACTATGCCACAGAAGCCAAAGTATCCCACATATAAAATTTCAAAATGGCGTTTCTGTAGTTGGTATGTTCAGCATCAGCTATATGGAAGAAGGATTTGTAACACTTTAACAAATGTATGCCAATCATCTGAGAGATATGAAGTAAATCTACCGGCTAGATCAAAAATCTAACGAGGAGATACTGGCCTCTTGACTTCTGGCTAATGATCCTGACCCTTGTTGCCAAAGAATCGCCGTCACCTTGGCTGGCCTAGGTATATTAGAAACTCACCTGCAAAGAATGAGAGAACTCATTGTTGACTGTTGAGTGATCATGTTTCCGGGAAATTCAAATACTTTTCTCACCCATTTACTAAAGAAGGATCACTTTTGCCATGCAGTTATTAAGAACTGCATAAAAAGCCCCTCTTAAACTAAAAAAAGCCAATACCTTAGCTCCCCTAAAACATTCTCCGGTTTGTTCTGTCTTGCAATTGCTTGTGGATGTTATATGACAGAGAAGGGACAAGCCCAAATTATTTGGGATTTTGTAATGCTTAGTCAGTTTGTAGATCGCCACCCCTTGGGCCAGCTTTATGTGCCTTTTTATTGTGTTTTATCACTTATGGATGCATCTGATAAGGACCTGGTGCCTGGTGGGAGCTGCTAATCACTTTAATTTTGAAATCGGATAGAACCAGAGTTGGTAAGGATAAAATGATGAAACAGGGTTCCACTCCACTTACCAGGAATGTGTGATGTCTGTATCTGCTTGCTTTTTCTGTCTAGAATAGCAGTAAAAAGTCCTTTTGCGGCTTTATGTTGAGATTTCTCTGTTGATGCAAAACCGTGGGCATGTTTTTTTTTTCTGCAGGTGCAAACAATTTGATTCCTATGGAAATTGCACTTAAAATTGCTAATAAAATCAGAGCACATGAGAGGTTCTCAGTGTATATTGTTATCCCAATGTGGCCTGAGGGTAATCCAACTGGTGCTGCTACACAAAGGATTTTATTTTGGCAGGTAGGCGCCAATCATGGCATACTCATAACTCACTCCCATGCATGATTTTTAGTGGCTGCTAAATGACTGCTAATTTTAGTTTCTTCTGCTGATGGATCCATTTCCAGTTGGATGAAAGACATTATTTTGATCTTCTGATTAAGCTAGTGTAACAAACCAGCTTAGTAGTACAATTTTGTTTGTGTGGACTGCGGTGTACTCATTCTCATTGTTTCACAGCACAAAACTATGCAAATGATGTATGAAACAATTTACAAGGCTTTAGTGGAGGTTGGGCTTGAGGATGCATTCTCACCACAAGATTACTTGAACTTCTTCTGTCTTGGCAACCGCGAGGCTATCAGCATGAGTGACACTCCAAGAAATGAAAATCCTCCTATGGCTAACACTCCTCAGGTTTATTTCTGTTGTTCCTGGAACTGGAATTTTGTTTAGCTGTTGATTTTCATCACTTGATCTGTTATGCAAGCACACATGACCAGAAACAGCTGTTTCCTTCAAATTAGAGATCTGCTGATTGTCATACATATATGGTTGACCACGTTGGGGGTTCTATTTTCATTCCCAAGTATATCTTAATACCTAAAATGTGTTGTGACCTTTATAGTCACCTAACCCTGTGTCCTATATTCTTTGTTATATGCTCTGTTTGACACAACAAAAGTGCACATAATTGCAATGTATTTGCTGTTACAGGCTCTCTGTCGGAAAAACCGCAGATTCATGATCTACGTCCATTCGAAAGGCATGATTGTGGATGATGAGTATGTGATTTTGGGCTCCGCAAACATCAATCAGCGCTCCATGGAGGGCTCTAGAGACACGGAGATTGCAATGGGAGCCTACCAACCTCATCATACGTGGGCAAGACAACTATCAAGTCCACATGGGCAGGTAACCCTTGAACAGATATCACCCACGTGCTGATTATAATGATTCAGTTAAGTAGCTCTAAGGGGGATGCAGCAGATGTTTCTTGCAGTTCTTAGTTGGAAAATGAAGAAAAAGACAGAAACTACCCATCCCAGTACTACGGAAGACATAAAATTGATCTTCTGTATTGTTTGATAGATATATAATATAGAGGCAAACACCTTTGCCTCCCTAGGGTTTGCCCGAGTAAAATATTACTTCCTAGTTCCTAGTTTAAAATATGAATAATTGTGTTTGTGGATTGGTTTCCTATCCCAGTTGACGGAAAGTATATAAAAAATGATTCACTTCTCCTGTATCAAACCACACCGTATTCCCTACTTCGACAAAGTAATCCTTATTCCTTAATTTAAAAAAGACATACCTACAGCAAAACGAGCCCTTCCTCCTCCTCCTCTCTCACACTTCACGCAAAGAGACCCTGACATACACTCTCTCTTGCTACACACACACACACATTTGTATATAGTCACACAACACATAATTCATACTCTCAGGCTCACACAATGTGTCTTTACACAAGACACAGAAACAGTTTTGAGTCCATATCTTAGGCATAGGTAGGTAATCGGGCTGATTTTTCAATCATGGTCGTGCAAGTGGAAGAACATCTTTGTGGTGGGTGGAGAATCTAAGGGTGACAGGCTAAGACTAATAGAAGGAGAGAGATGAGCATAGTCAATATACATGCTTGAGGTCAGCAAAAAGGCTGAGAAAGATACAAGTCAACAGACACATTAAAAAAGTAATCATCATTGACAGACTGTTTGTATATGGGAAATTAAAGCACAGTCTGTTGATAGCCTCCCGGATTAACCAGTTGATCTGTACAGGATGCCAGTAGTGTCCACTCAACGGATGATGTCATTTTGTGTTTTGTGGAAAGCCCACAAGTCAACTCCAACACTAGTAGTAACCATGCCAACAAGATTCTAGAACTCTTCTGAACAATTTTTGAGTCTTAAATAAAACCTGGTAATGCTGAGAGGGAGAGAGAGACATTGGAGAAACAAGGTTTATATGGGTATGCAACTTCTAGTCATTTTAAAATTTATCTTTTGAAGGAAAAGAATTATCTTCCACTCCAACACACTTCCTTTACGTGTCATGCACTTTCCGTCAATTTAGATGGGAGATGTAACAGTTTCCCTTCAGTTTAAAATACAAGGGGATTATGTGTATATTTATAAACACCAAGGAGGCAACATAATACTGGGGCAAATTACAAGGAGGTCAAATGTGGTTGCACCTGTATTAATGACATAGAATAATGTGAAACAAGATACTTTTAAGGTCTATTTAGGTTTCATGAAAAATATTTTGCTTTAAACCTCTCAATTGGAATGCAGCATACAATCAGACATGAAATACTTAATTACCAATTATGCATTTGGAATGGATACATTCAGTGCAGTTACATGTCATTCCAATTTTTTTAAACCATCTTCAAGTGCAATGAGAAACTGAAATGAATGATAATGATTTTTCGTGATCTCCTTTACCAAATGGCTGATTGGATATACAACGGAAAAGTAGTTTGTTTTTCATTGCCATTGAACAGAAAACCATATTCCAGAAAGAAGTCATTATGCAATAAAGCATCGAGTCGTTGGAAAAATTCTTTTTTTTTGGGGGGGGGGGGAGAGGGCTCGTGGTGGTAGAAATGGGTTCCACTTCTCGAAATGTAGGAACTCTTATACAGGGCAGGTGAACTCATTTGAATTAATCTGTATTGAAGTAAATGATACATATCCATGGAGTCATGGTCCCATGTATATATAAATCTCCAATGTCAGTATTTGACATGTTATTATTGGAATGTGTGTTTTGCAGATCTATGGATATAGAATGTCTCTGTGGGCAGAACATGTTGGAGTGATCGAGGACTGCTTTACACGACCTGAGTCTCTAGAATGCGTTCGACGAATAAGATCGATGGGTGAGATGAACTGGAAGCAATTTGCAGCTGAAGAAGTAACAGAAATGAGGGGACACCTGATGAAGTACCCAGTTGAAGTTGATAGGATAGGTAAAGTAAGATCCCTTCCTGGATGTGAAACTTTCCCGGATGTTGGAGGAAACATAGTTGGATCCTTTCTTGCCATTCAGGAGAATCTAACAATCTGAAATCCTCAATTGGGATGTCGCACAAAGCTTCCGAGTTGAAGAATGTAGTATTAAATTAGGAGTTGGTAAGTGCAGTTTTTAGTTAAGGTTTTGATATTAGATACTAATTTGCTGTACAGCCCCAGCCTCTGGGCACCAACTGTATAACAAGTAATAGGTCCTGCCCTGCTCCCCGCTTTGAGTAAGATCAGTGCCATTCCTTTGGAATGGCGGGAGGGTTGACAACAAGGAATGTTCACTCTGTTTGATGAGCTGCCTCTCCAATTACTCTTAACAAAAAAATGGTAATTTTAATAAAAAAAAATGATAAATTTAACCAAAAAAATTTTACTCTTAACCAAAAAAAGTGTAATCTTAACAAAAAAAGAGATAATGTTGACCTAATAAATGGTAATGTTAATCAAAATAGGGGTAATGCTAACAAACATTACAACAAAAATTATTTTTTGCAAAGATTTTAAATTTGTCGTAAAAAGTTTACTCTTCGTGACGATTTTATTATTTTGTCACAAATTTCTATTTTGGTAATTTTTTTTCGACGTTTTTAAAAGGCGATTCCCTCCTAATTTATTTGGCGGGAGAAATGGCGGGAACTGGCAAATTATATAAAAAAATAATTTAATTGAAATATCATTTTTTATGAATTATTTTTAAAAAAAAAAAACTTTTTTGCGATGAAATTAAAATCGTCGCACAAAATTGTAGAAATAATCTGTTTCGCGACGATTTTTATATGTTGCAAATATATTTATTCAATTATTTTTTATATTTTTTATTTATGTAAAAAATTATTCGCAACAATTTTTTTACGTCGCGAAAAATTAAATAAACTATTATTTTTAATATTTTTATTTATGTAAAAAATTATTAGCAACGATTTTTTTACGTCGCAAAAAATGAATTAAATTATTATTTTTTATATTTTTATTTATGTAAAAAACTATTCGTGACGATTTTTTTATGTTGTGAAAAATTAATTAAATTATTATTTTTTATTTTTTTACGTTGGTGAAATAAATTTTAGCGACGTTTTCTGAACTTTTCGTGACGTTTTTTTTTGTGGCAATTTTTTTTTTTTTTACGATGAAAATAAATTTGCGTCACAAAAAAATACTTTCTGCGACGAAAAAAAACGTCGCAATAAATAATTGACGACGATTTCTTTTAATTTAGCGACGAAAAAAATTGTTGAAAAAAACGATTTTTGTTGCAGTGAAAAAAAGTGGTACTCTTAACAAAAAAAGTGGTAATCTTAATCAAAAAAATGGTAACATTAACAAAAAATATGGTAGCCTTAACAAAAAAAGTGGTAATATTAACTAAAAAATGTGGAAATCTTAACAAAAAAAAGGGTAATTTTTTTTTAAAAAAAGTGGTACTCTTACCCCAATAGTGTAATTTTAAGCAAAAAAGTGGTAATCTTAATTAAAAGAATGGTAATATTAATCAAAAAAGTGGTATTCTTACCTCAACAATATAATCTTATCCTCAACAGTGGTAATCTTTTATTTTGGTAATCTTTTATTTTGGTAATCTTGCCTCAAAAAAGTAATAATCTTATCGAAAAAGTGATAACCTTGCATAATATTGTTACTAATCAAATCCCAATTACCGTGGAACCTTATTACTCTAATTTTATTCTAAAAAAAAGTTTAAGTGTATTTATTTTTTATTAAATATAAGCTTACTGTACTCTCAACTTTAGTTTTAATAAATAATAATGATTTTATAATCTCTTGGGGATAGTTTGTTTTTAGTATAAGATTTAGGTGGTATAAGATTTTATATCCATTCCACTCCACTCCGATCCAATAATATATTATATCCGGTCTTAAACTATAATCTTATAATTCTTTTTGTTTGTTTGTCACATATATTATTTGTGTAATACCTACTTAAAAAAATCAACAATTGCGACTAATTAATGTAAAAAGACAATTTTAACCTTAAAAAGTCAAAAATTACAACTAGGCTTTTATATGGACATTGTACTTGAGGGCATTTCGATCTTTTTAGTTTATTATACCTCCATTCATTTATACCAAGAATATTATACCACCGGATAGGTGGTATTGAATAACACCATGTAGAAGGCATTAGTGTTACTGTTCACATCGGATTAATACTATGACAAAAAAATTAGTACCTAATAAAAAATGTCAAATAAACAAGGTTGTTTTTTTTTAGAAGTTGTAAATATATTGTTTTCAAGGCCAGATCTCCGGTTAATTCCCTACCCACCTACCCTCTTTTAACAGTTCATTTCAGTCATTAAAATTTTGTCACCAAACATCCGAAACATCTCTGTTTTTAAAGAGATCAAAACGAATTAGTTATAAAATCGAAAATTTTAATATTTTGAAATGTTTCATTATGTATTTACACAATTATTTCGGAATGTTTCAAAATATTTCAAGTTAAAAAAATAATTTTTAAATTTTTTTATTTTATTTTCAAAATAGATTGAAACATTTCTAAAATACATCAAAATATTCCTGTTTTCTAAACGATCAAATTAATAAAAAAGATTTGATCATTGAATGAGACTTTCGGGACGTTGGTTCCAAACCTATCTGTCCTCTTAACATTGAAAAGGAGAGAAGTTTGACAGGAAGCTACCTTTCAACATCCAACATTCAATATGAAGTAGCAATGGTAAGTAAAGCTACCTTTCAACCCCTAAGTGTCGTATGGTTCTCGTTTTAGATTCATATTGAATGTTAATTAAATTTCATATGACCTGTTTAAAAAAATCAGACATTTACATCATCAAATATCAACTAAGCGGAGTTGTAACGTTAATTGATTGTTGAGTTTAACACTAACCAGACATATTTGCAACTCACATTAGTCAATTGTTTTATTTTTTAATTCATATTAAGCAATAGTCACTCATAACCCGTCAATTCCTTTTCTTTTTTATATTATATTAACATATCGTATTAAAATTGTCACAACTACATGTTTTCTTTCTCCCATTTCCTTTCAACCACACAAAAGAAATTTTTCTTTTTTTTTTTTCCCTCTCTTTTTCTATCCTCCTTGTTTGCTTATCCTTCTTTTTCATATCATCAAAATTTTACCTCACTCACCGGCCTGAGAATCAAATAAGAAAAACATGTAAGAAAAACTCCACTCAAAATTGAATATTCTTTGCTAGTTATGCCATATTTCTTAGTTTTAATAGGACTCTTTACAAATGTTGTTTCTATCTAAAAATAATCTAATTAACAAATATAAACCGAAAAATTATAATTGAAACAAGACGAGAATTTAAATGAAGATCAAGACGGATGCCAGAAGCAAACTCTGGTTGGGTAGAGGAGTCAGTGGTCCTGATCCTCCCGAATATAGCTGGCTGGCCAGATCTATAGGAAACGTGGCCTCTTATCCCACACACAAACGAGGATTCTCTTTGGATAAGCCAAAAATGTCATTCCCGAAGTGGTCAGGGAGAGAATTTATATTCTTGTGATACGTATCTATTTGAAAACGAACCGACGATAATATATTTTAAATGACTTGAAGACAAAATATTAATACCCCGAAGGTAATACGACCAACCCGCTTGCTACACTTACTAGCCTCATAGTTAAAGACCATTTATCATATTCACCTTTTTTTTTTTTTGTGGGATTGGGGGTTATGAGTTAAGGACAGAGTCAAAATCCGATCTTTAGGGGTACGAATAGTAGTATAATAAGAAATTTTTTTATTTAGCCTGCATGTTATTCAATGAATTATCAGTTAATAACAGTTTTTTAAATACATAGAATCTATTAAAGTTTATTTTACATTGTAATATTATCAATTTCCAATAAAAGCTTAAATTTAATACAATTTTGTCGAATTAACTAAACTTGTAAATAAATCACATCAATTTATTGCATAAAAGATACTTTCAGCTCAATTTTTTGGGCTATTCACTCGAGTACAACTAACCTTCAGGAAGTAAGAGAGAGAGAGAGAGAGCACATAATCGTATATTAATTGTGATTTTTTTTTTTAAAATTAAATTTTTATTTTTGATTTTATATCAATAAATGACATAATATAACATGAATTTTGATTATAAGATTTAAATATTTGATATTCTATCTTTGATCAGAATAATTTTCATCTAACTATAATATTTTAAACTTAAGAAATCTAAATATTATATAAAAACAAACTTCAAAGAATCTGGGTATGATTTACTAATAGATTTTCTAACAGATATTGACGGCAAGGGTGTTCAAATTTTTAATTACCCGCAAATTTCGATCCTACCCTACCCAACCATACTCGACTTTATTGATCGACTACCCGAAAGAATCGGGTAGGCCAAAGGAAGATCTTTTCGTATTCCGAAAAAAATGGGATAGGAATACAGAATACATACAAAATTTTCATATTTATCTAGAAACCTTAATGTTTTATTGATGCTCATGACTTTCTTGTTGTGCTTTATTATAATTATTTATGTATTATCATATTTATTATGTTTTATTTAATGTTATTAGTTTATTGTATTAGTTAATTGATGTAGATTGCCTAATTAAATTGTTAAAATAATTCAAAAATTAATAAATAAAAAATATGTATTCACCCGATTTCCTACTCGATCATTTTGGATGGAATTCAGATAGAAATAGTTCACTTTTAATCGGGTAGGATAGATAAAGAAAAAATTCTTCCGTAAAGTATCAGGTAAAAAGATGAAATATTATAATTCTTACCCGTAAGGTAAAGTGAACACTCCTAATTAACGGCAAGGGTCTAACTGTTACACGCGTCCAAACCTTAGGAGGTCTGTATGTAATATTTTAAATATCAAATAGTCTAAATGATCAAATAACAAACTTAAGGGGATCTGAATATAATTCTTCCTTACATCCACGGTTGGTACTTTGAATATGTACCTGCATCTTATAGGATCTGGTGCTTCTGTTTTGTTTTTTCTGTCAGAATCTCTGTAATTGTGACATTTGACGGAACTAAGTTGGAAGATAATGGGGGTAATTATCATTGATACATCCTTTAGATTGAGATATCTTAATTGAGTCTTCATTTATTATTTGAAACATTATTAACACCCTTTTTCAATTTAATGACGTTAATTAGAATGTATTCTTATTAAATTGTCTATAATATATTTAAAAAAAAACTTTATCAATACCTTTTCTAAATAGACATATTTTCAATGAGACCTTTTTGTTTTCTACAACCTACTTTGGTGTAAGCCCACAACCCAATTTTGTCTTAACCTACTGTCCAATTCTAACATAT